GGACCGGGAATTGAACCCGCCGCCTCCGGTTTGGTAATACCGTGCCTTTACTGACTACACACTAAGATTATTTCACAGATTTCTGTAAAATTTTACCGAAATCTCAACAGCTGAACGTTCGGTAAACAGTTCTACAGTTTTCCCGTAATTTTTTACAGATATCCTTGAAAAAATCACAGATATTTGTGAAAAAGTACAGGAAATCTGTGAAACTGTTTACCGAACGTTCAGCTGTTGAAATTTCGGTAAAATTTTACAGATTTCTGTAAAAAAATTTAAGTGTGTAGGCTATGAGGTCCCTACAATAATTTATACGAGAGGTATATTGCCAAAAACGGAGCAGTACTGTATTGAAGTTTATCCCTATCGGACATTTGGACAAAATGGTGCCTTCCTTACAAAAAGGTATGCATCACAGATGGATTATTTGGGGGATTTTCTAATTCTAATACTATCGACGCTCTCAATTCCAGCAATGACGGAGCTGAACTGTTATTGTAAAACTCAAAATGAAAACCCCACTAGTAATTTATGAACCAACGTCTATGAAAAGTAATGAAATAAATCATAGGTTTTCTGAACATTGCCATAAAAAGTAGTTCGGGTTTTTTTTTTTCAACTTAGTAAATGCTCAATTTTTATATTGCGGAAACATATTGGAATCTATATCAATTACAGTTTTCAAATAACTTGGATTCAAAATTGAAGAGAGTCTTGAATTCCCATGTGGGGTGAGGATGTCGTTTTCAATCATATTTATTTAATTAATTAAATCTTCAACATAATGTTGTAAAGATATTTTCTAGGCTAGGTGTCGAATTCTATGTTTGTAAGTAGACTTACTAATGTTAAAATCATATACATCAAACGTTTCATTAAACACACGACTGCACAAAGTCCACGGTTCGTTGAATCCATAGTTGGTCCGATGGGTAGGTTGCCACAGAAGCGTGTAACTACGTAGAACTCTTTGAGGAGCATTGATGTAGATTTGGCTCACAAGAGAGTTGCAATCCACACCACCGTTAAGCAATCCAAACACGAAGAGTCGCTGAAGTAGTTTCCTCCTTGCTGCCAACGTGTCCAGGTCACTCAGCCTGCACCGTTCTTCGTAAGGCGGCAAATTTACCGAATCGTTCCAGGGCAGAACACGTAAAGCGTATCTTACGAAGTTTCGCTGAATGGCTTCGATTCAGTTAGCTTGAATAGCGTGAAAGGGTGCCCACACAACAACAGCATACTCTAGAAGACTGCGGACGAGAGCTTACCCCATTTAGCTATGAAAAATAAAATTTGTCAAATTTATTGATTTATCACGTTTAACGGTCATTGGAAAATTTTACCGACTTGATCTGCTGTTCAAAAACCCGGTATGGCTTTTTTTCCTTAAAAAATGACAATTTTCTAATTCAAATATCTCGAGTTAAAAAAATGATACCTCTGCCATTTTTTCAGCAAATACAGAACCAAATTTTTTCTTTCCATTACTTTCAATAGATTTGCAATTTGCAATCGCGTTTTAAAGTTATATTAGTTTGAAAAATACTTGTTTCTAACCTTAAAATGACTATATCTTTTGATTCAGTAGTCCAAACGGCATAATTAGGTGATCAAAATATGTATTTTTTAAAGTTCTAAAAGTGTTCTGAAAATAGTTTTCTCTAAATACAAACCAAAAATGGTTATGGTCAAAAAACTGTTATTTTCATGAATCACCCTAACCTTCTAGTTGTTTCAGTTCATAGAATGCGTAGATGATGAGATAAAAATTTGACGTCTTCGACAAAGTTGCTTGGTTTTGCATTTTCTACAACTTTGAAGAAGTAAAAAAGTTCTCAAAAATTTCCCTGAACAGTTAGATTGTTGAAGTCACCCTAAAACTGAATCACCCTATTGAATGATCCAATGAAAAGATGCGCTTTTTTATTACCAACAACTCTTTCGAAGACATCAAAACGCTACAAACAGTAGATTTTGCGGAAAACCCAATTTCCATGTATTTTTCCGCTCTGGGCCACTGTGCATTGTGGGGAAAACACCACTAACTAGCGAACGATTGAAGATAATCGACACATGTTTAATAGGGTGCTTCATTCTGAAAAAAGTGATGAATTTCTGATGGGCCACCCTCCAGTTCGATTCAAAGCCCCAAAATATGAACCTGTGCAAAAATTGGTAAAGATTGATGAAGGTTTAGAGGTCGCGCCAATGATTTGAAATTTGTATGGGAATTACTATGGAAGAATTTAAAAAATCGCTTATATCGCTATAACTTTGCTTCTACTTGTCCAAATGTCGAAAAAATTTAGTATGTTATTGCTATGGCAATAAACAAAAAGCCTACAGTTGCTACGCTCAGTTTTGCAGCGTATCAAGAATTATAAAAATGTGAAAAAATGGCAAAATAGGGTAAATTGACAGATGAATATGTACAAGGCAACAACGCCAATTTCATCGCAACAACAACAGGCTTGTTGATCATTGTCATGACAACCACATATTTTTTTTTTCAACGTTTGGACAACTACAACCAAAGTTAGAGCAATGTAAACGAAAATCAATAATTTCCCATACTAATTCACCAAAATCTCCATACAAAATCCAAATCATTGGCGCGACCTCTAAACCTTCATCAATCTTTACCATTTTTTGCACAGGTTCATATTTTGGGGCTATGAATCGAACTGGAGGGTGGCCTATCAAAAATTCATCACTTTTTTCAAAATGAAACACCCTAATGTTTAACCCTAAGGCCATTTTGAGCATTCATATTTTAATTGATTTATCCTTATTTAGGGGGATTTCAGTCTGCGGCTGGTTCGCGTTTACATATTTTATGTTGTAACCCTTCCCGCACCCCTTTTTAGATAAAAAAAAAACAAATGAAACTTTCAAAATAATCAGTTGTTCTCATAATTTCCATAGCGAAGATACTGATGAGGAGGTTTTTCTCCCCAAACAAAACAATCTTTCCATCGCTTCATTTTGTGTGTACCATTTTTGCCACCTTTTAACCGACGAACCGACAGCTCCCTCTGCGGATGTTTCAGCAAACTCATGAATAATAAACTGAAAAAAAAGTTAACCTACCCAGACAGACATTTCGTCGGGTGTTTGCAAACGTTTTAAAGGTAGATTCATACACAAGGGAAATGATAGGGACATCTATCAGCATCAACATTGTAAAAGGGTAGTACTGTTTTTGATAACAAGGACTTCAGTCGCCAATTTCTTGCGAATAAAAAAAAAAATAACCTTAAAAAGCAAACACCACTACCAGGTAGGGTAGGAGCATATATTTTCTTCCAGTTGGTGTTGTTTATTAACGGGGGTGAGCTTTGATTCCTGAGAAATAGGCGATTATAGCAACGATTTCACCTATTTGACATGTGGGGAAGGTGTATATAGCTCCTACCCGAAACGAGATAAAAATCATCGAAAAACGATAACAAACATTTTAACTGAGCCATGGGAGCTATTGTTTTTATTAGTTTCGAAAACTCAATAAGTGAACAAATTGACCTATATATCATCTGTAGTTAGTAGATCTGGAAACGTCAAACAGCTGACGAATAGCCGAGACGATTAACTCGGTTATGCGGGCTGATTTTTCTCAGCTCACGTACACACGCATCAAAAGTTATGAGCTTCCGTAGAAAGTTGGTGAGGGTGTGACCACGTCAGCATAACTCAAAGATTCTTATGATTTCACTCGGATTATTCTGCGGTTGTCTATTCTGATCACGTAGCACGCACACTGCATGGTAGTCCAACAAGGTTTCTCATGTCATGGGTAGCCATATTTATTCTACCTCAGCACTTATTGATTTATACAATCATTGATGAATATATCCTGATGGTAAATTTATCATGTTTGCCTTATTACTTTGATTTTGGGGCACGCCATGAAATATACTAACAAGCGTTGCTTTTTGGCTTATTGCGTTTTGGCGTGCTGAAAGGGATTGCTAATTGAGTTTTTCAATTTATTATTTTCCATTACATTTATCGCTTACATGTGTCAACCATACTAGGCTGCGTGCCAAATCTGTGGATTGGAAACTGATGTAACTGAAGCCTGCAAATTTAGTTAAACTAACTATGAACGTTCTGCAGCTGTTGAATGATTTGTGGCGAAAAATTCAATCACTGAGGTTTAGTCCTAAAAGCATTTCATTTGAGAATGCATGATGAATTATTATGATATCCATCACCTACGTGTAGAAAATGTAGAAAATGTAGATTATGTAGACGTTTGAAGAATGAAGAGAGCTGCAATCAATAATAATTTTGTGTTATTTATTTGTTAAGACTCAACTGTGCTTTGTGGTCAGTACGGAAGGAGATTTGTGATTTTTTAAATTTTTCTTTAATCTTTAGTTTAGAGATTTTTAGTCAAAAGCTAGTTCATCTCTTAATTGTGTAAAGTGTGTGGCAATAAAAATAATGAAATTACATAATTAACAGTGTGTGTTCGTTTACTTTTCAGAGGAAGACACATCCTGCGTGCTTTTAGATTTCGTTTAAAGTTCTTCGCCTTTTTTTTCGGACTTTACTGCTTTAACTTGCTTTAATACGCTTGATGTGTTGAAAACAATATTTAGAAATATATCACCTGTTACAAACAATTTCTTTTAAAACGGCGCCGGTGGTGTAGTGGTAAGCGTGATTACCTCTCACCCCAGCAGGCCTGGGTTCAATACCAGTCGGCGCCGCCGGGATGTTCTGAGGCATAACATCTCTGATCACGCCTTCCTTCGGATGGGAAGTAAAGCCGTTGGTCCCCGGTTCATGAGTTGATGGGTCGATAGGTAGGGTCCAGGTGTGGGAGCTGCCTTTCTGGCACGTCGGTAGCATTGGTGCTCAGCACGGAAAACAAGATCGACGGAAAAAACAAACCAAAGGAAAAAAAAAAAAATTCTATTAATTAATTTTAATTAATATCATAATTAACAGAAATAAACGTAATTTTACTACTCGTTGACGGTATTCTTGTAAAGAATTTTGAAGGAGAAGGAACTGCAGCAGCAGCCGCAAGAACAGCAGCCCCAGCAGTGGGAACTGCACAATTACTTCGTGTGGCCGTGGCCGAGGCTGGAAACCTCGGTCCGGTCACGACAATCCCGATTCGAGAGTCCTGGGTTTCTCTTGATCGACCACAACACCTTCCAGTTCAACTGCCGATCAAAAGTTCCAGCACGACGTTTGCTTTGAGCCTTCAGGGCCACACTCTTGCGACCACAGATCCGCTTAAGAACATCTCCCACGGTAGAAACGGCAATTTTCAACCTTTTGGCGATATATCGAATTTAGTACAACCTTTTTGATACTGCACGTATCGAGACGAAAGTTTCACCACTGTGTACTTTCAAAACAAATCGCTTTCAAAATATTTCAAATCCGACAACTAGAGGCGCTGAATAAATAAAATATCCGGATTTTAAGTGGACCAGACCATGGGTACATAAATTGCTATCATTGTCCTCTAGCAACGGTTGAGCAAAGTTTGAATTGAATCATGGCCTTTCTCACAAGTCGTATGACTGCGATTATAATATCCAATAGCCACCTCAATGGCGTCTGAAGTTAGGAAAATGCAATTTTTGAATAAAAAAAAAAAATTAGATCTTAAAGAAATTCAGTAAAATCACAATAAATGTGAGTAAATTCAAAATCCCTGTCTTCTTGCTTTCTAAAACAGTTTTTGTGCTTGATTTTTTTTCCGTCGGTCTTGTTTTCCGTGCTAAGCACCAATGCTACCGACGCCAGGGAGACAGCTCCCACACCTGGACCCTACCTATCGACCCATCAACTCATGAACCGGGGACCAACGGGTTTAGATGTTATGCCACAGAACACCACTGGCGCCGCTACTCTAAAATAGTTGGTTGAAAAATTGGTTGATAGTATGCGATCACTATCCAAAAGTGTTTTTTTTAGTGGCGTGGGTGGTGCAGTGGTAAGCGTGATTGTTTCTCACCGCAAAAGGCCAGGGTTCAATCCCAGTTGGCGCAACCAGGATTTTCTGAGCCATGAAATCTCTGATCACGCCTTCCTTCGGAAGTAAAGCCGTTGGTCCCAGGTCTATGAGTTGTTAGGCCGATAGGTAGGGTTCAGGTGTGGGAGCTGCTTCCCTGGCGTTGGTAGTATTGGTACTCAGTACGGAAAACAAGATCGACAAAAAAAAAATCAAAGAAAAAAAAAACAATTTCTTTAAATTTTTGGGGTGTTGAATAATTTCAAATGGTATACTCGACTAGACTAACAACCTACAATAGGTCACTTGCGAAGTCCATTATATTTTTTCAATTTGTACACGTCCAAATTCAAGTTTTTTGCACCAATGGATGCTGTTTCATGCACTGAATATGTAAATGCATACAAGTGAAAATTGCCCATAGTGGTATACGTCACATTTTTGTCACATATTTCCTCTGTGAACTTAGTTGACAAATGGAAATATGGCAAACCTGCATTAAGTAGCATTGCTCTCCATCATAATTTTTAGAAAATTTTGGCATTTTTTTTTCTATGATTCTCATTTTATACAGGGGAAGTGCAACATTTATGACTCTACTTAAAAATTGCAAAAGTTTTGACTCCAGGGATTCAAATAAGCAAGGGCCAAAACTGGTACCACTGTATATTTGTAACACAACTGGCGCATATGCCATAGCTGGAACTCTTAGTCCATATATCGAAACGGTCTGGAAACCTTTTTGCATTTTGTGATGCTACAATGCTGTTACTTTTTCGACATCAATTTGCAACTGCTCCCGGAAATACACAAACATAAAACACAACCGTGTAAATGATAATGTTTATTCCATTTTCCAGGCTTTCCGCAATGTTGATTTTCCTGCCTTCGTTTTCACATGATTGATTTGAGGGTTTTCGTTTTCCTGTTGCGGTAACGGCTATGGATAGGGAAATCGTGTTTTGTATGTTGAATTTAATTAGGGTGGATTGCAATTTGTTCAATGTTGCAGTAAGGTTGAGGAGTTTTTTTTATACTGAAAAAAGAATGATTGCAGTAGAAGATGATAATGTATCATAATTTGCTTTGTAAGCTTCCATAGTTTAAGTTTGATAATTTTTAGAATTTATGTGTTTTGTTTGCTTTTGTTTTTTAAAATGAGGAGACAGTTTTTTTCCGTTTCTATTCGGAACCAAAAACTTTTATTTTCCATCCGTTATGCCTTCCTGTTTAATGTTTATTTGTCGTCGATCAGTGTAGACCGCGCTTGGTACGAGCACGAGTTAGCTTCTTCAAATTCCAATACGGAATGCAAAAAAGAGTAGTTTGAGCTTACAGGTAAGTTGGATTCCGGAGTCTCTAGAAAATATGTAAGAATCTGGGTCTGAGATAAATGTGGAAATGAAAAGTAAGAGGTTGTATCCAAGACACGACCGTAGATTTGACGTAGGATTACGTGCTCGGTATCAATATTCGGCTACTGTGTTAGGGATACCAGTTTGTCCCATCACGGAAACGCCTCGTTTTCTGATGACAAAATACCGCATTTTCGTGCACAAAAGGCACGGAATTTTTGGTATATTGGAGGAATTTCTTGCTAAAATGTTGTTCCGAGATATTCGCGATCAATCATATGAATTCGAGATTTGTTTGTTTTTTTTATCGTCCTGGAGAAAACCTTACCTTAATTCGAAGTGTTTCTGGTTAATTAAAATGTCATCACCACCTCAATACTGTTACAAATTTGACCACAAATGTTTGGAAGCTGCGCACATTATCAAACAGCTTTAGTGATGGCTGGCAGCAAAGCGAACGTTCAATGAAAATTTTCTCTTAAACGACAATAATTTATGATTGGGGAAACCGGTTTTCACAGGCAATCGGTGATAAATTAACTATCATAGCAACAGTTGCAAAACAGTGACTTTTTGAAAAAGGATAAAGCTTTAATTTTGACAGATTCGTAGAAAAATGTCCTATCGATTGGCGTATTAATAATTGAAATCAATCATCTCTGGACCAAAATCAGACCATCTTCATGCTACGATCGACTTTGGTTTTTAAAAGGTGCTCCCGCAATGTTGTCTTAAAAATACATGGTATATTAGATTTAAACTTATTGGAACTGACATCCAATAGATGACATTGAAAAATGTCCAGAAAACACTCTTTAACAAAATTATGGTGGTCATGAAAAGGATCGTTTTGACGTGATGGTTGAGTAATGCTGAGCTATGAGGGTGTTCAACACAGATGAGGCTGGTGAGCTGTATGTCGTTTGGAACGAGGGAGAAGTGCTTGGCATAAATAGCTGATGACGACCGACCGGACACCACCACACACGTTGATTAAATAAGCACCGTTCGGCGAGACCGGATGGAATTCGATCTGTGTTAGGGAAAGCGCTTTTTGCAGGCAATCGGTGATAATATTGATCACCATTGTTGGACATTTGTGTAATTTTCAATAGTCGTTCACCTTTTGAAAATTGATAAAGCCTTAATGTTAACAGATTCGTAGCAAAATTGTCAATAGATTGGCTTGATTAGAATTAAATCCATCCACTATTGACAAAGTTATTAGTGGTCAAAACCTGACCACTGTTCGTAACGCTGTCGATTTTGGTTTTTTGAAATTGCACCCCCAATATCAGAGTATTCCGGGAAAGTGAGTTCGTTTACCACTACTGAATCTGAAAGGAAACCCTAGCTTGAAACTTCATGAGAACACATGTTAGCTCCTACAAAACATACAAAGATGAAACTCGAACTCCACGTCTGATGTATCACAGCAAACAGGAAGTTTACATTTCATCACTGTATGCTGTGTGGGAGTTGATATGTGTGCTCTTGAAGTTTCAAGCCAAGGCTTCCTTTCAGATTTACCTTAAATGAAGAACGTCAACTGATGGCTGATATATCGATTATACGAACATCACTTTACAATTAACATGCGCAAAGTAGCCGACATCATAAAAAAATCCCTCACTCTACGTTCGAAGTAACTTATATACTGTGCAGGCACGATATTCAGCTATTCAATTATGTGTTTCTGAATTGCTCTACAATTTCTGTTATCCTAAATAAGTCACGTATATCTATTACATTATACGTAGCAAATGTGAGGCCCCTCCTTGAGTGCTGTAGTATAGTCTGGGTCCCATATCAAGATACTTATATAAACGCATTCAATCAGTTCAAAAACAGTTTCTATTATTTGCTTTATGAAAGTTAGGCTCGACGAATTTACCCTTACCATAATATGAGACTCGATGTAGGTTGATCAATTTGGATGCACTTGAAAAGTGAAGGTAGTTCAACATGATAGCTTTTATAAACGATTAATTTTCAAGATTTTAGACAATCTAAATTTTTATGCTCCCACTTGTTCTTTAAGAAAAAAATATGTGTTTTATATTAACATCCAAAGAACAAACTATGCAAGGAACGTGCCTTTAAATATAATGATGTCTTGTTGTAATGAACATTATGAAACAATTGATGTGACAATGAACAAAAATGATCTTAAAAACGTTTATTTTGGAGGTTAGCCAGAAAGTAAAAATTAAAATAGATAAATCAATAATTAAATATATTGCTATTTTCCGACTATTTAATCAATGAGTGATAAATAAACATACACAATCAGAAATTATCACCCTCTTCGGTATTTTTTACCGAAATCGCAACAACTGAACTATTCGGCATTTAATTTTAATTGTTTTAAAGCTGCTTTAAACTTAATCTCCCCTATAATTACAATATTTGATCGTTTCAACAAGATTGAACGTGTTTTGAAATTATGTTTGAGTAAAGTAGGCTTTGAAATGAACATCAAAGTTTTACCGAACGTTCAGCTGTTGAGATTTCGGTAAAAAATTACCGAACACGACAAAAAAAGCTGAGTGTATAGGTTTAACCATATATAAAAAGCATTAAACACTGTTTTTTTTAGGGAAACAACAACGGCTGCTGCCAAGATCCGTCCAATTATTGATTGAGAGCTCGTTGGTATATGTACCAGTCTTGATAATGACTCAATTGACGCTTGAGCTGCACTTGTTCTGTTCTGCTGGTATTGTACGAATGGATCGGCAATAAGGCTAGGGAGCGTACACGTCATTAACAAGGCTATTATTTTGTCGGGATGCATAGCGATAGCGGTATTGTTCCCTGTGCAACGGAAAACTTCCTCAAGCGTGCTTGCTGCAGCAGAATGTGGTTGAATGATCCCCGGT